TAGCTGCAGCAAGACACAGCTAGCGGTGGCTAGCTGCAGCAAGACACAGCTAGCGGTGGCTAGCTGCAGCAAGACACAGCTAGCTGCAGCTGCGTGCAGCTAGCCGGCGGCCTGTTTGCTGCTGCAGCAGCCCGGGGCGCATGCAGCAGCCCAGCTGCCCCACTGAGCTGCAGCAAAACGAGCAAACCCTAAACCCTAATCCTAAACCCTCAATTAGGGTTTGCAGCAGCTCAATCCAGAGAGACGCGGTTAGCTGGCATATACGCTCAGCTGCGGAGTCCGCACCTAAGCCCTAAACCCTAAACCCTAAACCCTAAACCCTAACCCTCGGGCTGGCAGCGCTGCCAGCTCTCGCCAGCAGCCGGCGCAGCTAAGTCCGTAAACCCTAAACCCTAGAAGTTGCAGCTATTAAGTGTTTTGGGCGCGAAAAGTAGCAGCAAAGTGTGCAAAACCCTAAACCCTAAACCCTAAACCCTCGGCGCATGCAGGCAGCAGCTGCGGCCGCCTGTAGGCAGCAGCAGCGACAGCCCGTCGCTGCAGTTCGCGTTTGTTTCTTTTTCTTCAAAAGAAAATAAAAAAGAAATTAAATTAAATTAAAAAATAAAAGAAGAAGCAGCTGCTGCCCCCTGCAGACTGCAGCCGACCGACAACCCAGCAGCAGCAGCAGCAGCAGCAGCAGCAGCAGCAGCAGCAGCAGAATGACTCCAACGCCGCAGGAGCAGCAGCAGCTGCTGCAGAGCATTCGGCAGCAGCTGCAGCAGGGCACAGCAGATGTCAGCCGCTGCAGCGAGCAGCTGTCGCAGCTGAAGCTGCTGCAGGTTGCTGCGCTGGCGGGAGTTGCTGCTGCAGCAGCAGCAGCAGCAGCACCAGAGCCAGCTGAGGCGCAGCGGCTCATCCTGGCCCGCAGCACCTTCGAGACTGCAGCAATGCTCTGCGTCTACCAACTGCAGCAGCAGCAGCAGCAGCAGCAGCAGCAGCCGCAAGACGAAGAGACTCACGAGCAGCAAATGAAAGACACAGCAGATGCTTTCCAAAGACACATGAATATGCTGCAGCCCTTCTACGCCGACTTGGCCCACGTACCCAAACCCTAAACCCTAAACCCTAAACCCTAAACCCTTGTTGCTGCTGCAGGGCTTGCTGGCCGGCGCTGCTGCATGCAGGTCGCGGGCAGTCGCCGCTGCGAGCAGCAGCAGCAGCAGCAGCAGCAACAGATTAGCTGCTGCTGCTGCAGCAAAGCCCCCACTGCGTGCATGCGTGGGATGCTGCTGCTGCTGCTGCTGCTGCTGCTGCTGCTGCTGCTGCTGCTTCGGCTATCTGAGCCCAGGCGCCACATTGAGTTTGCTCGCTTTTGCTGCTGCATTATTTGCTGCATTATTTGCTGCATGCGCTGCTGCATTATTTGCTGCAGCACCTGCTGCACTAGCTGCTGCACTGGCTGCTGCGTTTGCTGCTGCACTTGCTGCTGCTGCTGCTGCTGCTGCTGCTGCAGGTGCTGCCGCCTTCGGAGCTGCAGCAGGAGCTGCAGTGTCTGCAGCTGCTGCACTACTTGTCGGGGGACTGCATTGCTGAGCTGCACGTGGCCCACGACAGGCTTTCTGAGGAGGTGTGGGGCCCCACACCTGCTGCTGCTGCTGCTGCTGCTGCTGCTGCTGCTGCTGCTGCTGCTGCTGCTGCTGCTG